GTGCATACATGTATTGAGCAACCTACAGAACCATCCATAGCAGTCTTTTACAGCCTCTCTCTCAAGCAATAGGTGTGTATTTCAGTGCAGGTACTTGTGCAGAATGGGGAAATGATGGAGGAAGATAAGATTCTTCTTGTTACTGTGTTGTTATACAATGCAGTGCATATGTGCCACGTTTTGCAAACAAATACCACTAGCATTGGCCATCATGCAAAGTTTTGTATTGTGTGCATATTGCATATGTATTAACATTGCCATAATGGCTCTCTCTAAGAGCCACACATTGTCATTGTAACATTCACCGGTCACTTTGGCTGCAGATAGAACCTGCACTACAAAACTGTATGTGGTCAGTGTAAGCTTTATGCTTCAGAAGACTTGTCTTGTAAAGAAACATATTTGCAGGGACATGCATCTCCGCAAACTCTTCTCCAACTCTCCCTAAAGAAAGCTGTTTACAGACTGCTGGATGGGGCTGGTATAGAAGCTTTAAGCCTGCTCTGGATAGCATAAGAGGAAGCTTTTGGACTAGGCTAACCCCGGTTACAGGAAAAATTCATTAGAACAGTGTTTTGCTCACTGTGGGTGAAATTCACACCTATGTACGGGCTAGCACAAAGCCTGTGTACAACTTCAATTTCCCCAGAACACACATAGGCCTCATGCTGATCACTTTCTGCAAAGGATTGAATTTCACCTAGAATGAGCAACAGCCTTCATTTTACAATTCAATTTGAATCCATCAGATAAAGCACAGGGGGGTGGTAATTTTTAATATAGATTTTAAAATTACCTGCACATCAATCACTTTTGATTAAGCTCTTCATGCCCAGGAGCTGTAAGTCTGGCTTCACAGACACTAAATGCTAAATACAAAGTGATTTGAAGCTTAAGAACTCCGACTCTTTAAGATCAAGACATCTATCATCATCGGAAGGGAATTTAGCATAAAGATATTAGGGATTGCTTTTCCTGGTGCTGTCTTCATGACTTTTATATACATAGGTTGGGAAAGGGTTGAGGACAGAGGAAATTTTTGGGAAAGTGTGGGGGGCAAAGGAAAGATTACTTGTAGTCTGCAGTATGTCTTCACCTGCTGATAAGTTGTTACCATCATGAAACTCCCTAAAAAGGAGAGAAATGCTTGCTGTAATGATAAAGTTGATAATGTTAACTAAAGAAAATTGAGATTATGATCTATATGGAGAGATACAGAGAAGGCAGCAGTGAAGTGCTGCCAAGTTATTGCGCCAAAAATGAAAACTCTGTAGCTATGATTTCCATTTCCTTTCTCCTAAAGGTAGGGTGGTTTCTTTCTAACTGATTGGGCTTTTATGGTTTTAGTTATTGCAAAAGGATGTAGAAGGACCATTTCAAACACTAAAGGAATCCACCACAGGGCTAGCAGAAACCTAAATGAGTTAAATATTGGAACAGACTGAACTGAACTTTGAATACTTCAATAGCCGTTGGCAAGACGGGGTTTTAAAAATGCATTATCTTGTGCAAAAGTGCTCAATACTGTCCCACTCAAATATATAGAGATTATTCTATAACTGAATTATACTGAATATCTGCGGAGCCAAAGTACATTTGAACCATTACCTCAACTTAAAAGTGCTTGTAATTAATTGGATCAATCACAGCAGTGAAATAGATAAAATATGATTTCAAAGAAAGCAGCCATGCCACAAAGATGTCAGGAAATAAAAATGTAGGGCCAGTGTCTTTACGCATGCTACAAACCTAGAATACAGTGTTTTACTTCTGAATTTTATTAGGGATCCAAAAAGTTGGTTAAAAAGCTAACCATGTAACCACTGAAAATCTTAGTGGTTACACGTGCTGCAGTAAAAAGATAAGCTTTATTTAAGCTGAATAGCTTTATCCTGTGGAGCCTCCCTAGGATCAGGGCCTCCAGTTTTTGCTGGCCCCACTCCTGGAGAGGAGGCTACGCTGCCACAGTGACAGCGCTACGGACAGGGGTTGCTCCGGCCAGCCCCTACTGGTTAACCAGAACCGATAAGCATTACCTATTTAGGATGACGCTTACTGATTAGCCAGTTAACCTTTCACATCCCTAGATTTTATACATCCTACCAGAGATCTTCATATTTCATGTCTAAGAATCTACCTCATTTTCTTGTGTTGCCATTTTAATTGTGTTTTTAAAATACAATTATATAAAAGAATTAACAGCACTCAAATCTTCTAGACATAAACCGAGCTACATTTGGTTGACTGTGTGTTCTGTCCATGTGCCAGATAAACGGCATAGCAAATAAAAGGTCCTAGTAAAATACCCATCGGAACATAATTTATTCAAATAGTTAATTTTCCTGGCAGTAAGAAAATTCAGTTCTTCATTGAATGGTGTCTCCTGCCAGATGGATTCATGACACAGGAAGGTCTCTCTGATGTAATGGTAGCCCTCGATGTATGGATGTATGTGAGCATGTTACAGGCCTCAAATGAATTCAGAGTTCTGATTATCCACTCCAAGTTCTTAAGTTACATTTGGAGTTTGTGATCTGTTTTGAGATGCACAACAGCAATCCCGTCATTTACTGGTCCTTATGTGTAGTCTTAATGAATTGCTAGACAGAATAAAAACACAGTGAGGAATAATGGAGATTCCTCATAATGTGGCTATTCGGCTATCTTAGAGCATCTTAACCACTGCCCAAGTAAACAGTGTTTTCTACATCTGGGGTCCCTCATAAAAATTCCTGTTTAGGTTAAGGATGTTAAAAAGCGGGTAATTGGCTAATCGTGTAGTTGATACAATTTGTATCGATTACATGATTAGTCGATAAGGGGAAGTGCTCTGTCCCGGCTCGCACCAAGTCCAGGAGCTACTGCTGCTGCGGTTCTGCAGTTTAAATGCAGTAGGAGTTGGGTGTGCAGGTAGCCTGGCTCCTACTACATTTAAACTGCAGAGCCTCAGCGGGGGTAGTTCCCGGAGCCAACATGAGCTGGGACTGAGCAGTCCTGGCTCGCACCAGCTCCAGGGCCACTGTGGCTTTGCATTTTAAATTTAGTAAGAGCCTATTGGCTTTTACTACAAATAAAATGCAGAGCTGCAGCCGGGGTATTTCCCAGGGCCAGCACAAGCTGGGACTTGAGCAGTCCTGGCTCACACAGGCTTTGAGACCACTGCGGAGACTGTGCTGGGGAGATCCGGCTTTTAAGCCAGCTCCCCCAGCACCAGCTCCTGCTCCCCCCACCTGCCACCTCTGATACAAAGGAGGGGGGAAGCGAGTAGTCCAGTGGTCACTCAACTACCTGATAAGCCTAGGCTTATCGGGTAGTCGACTACTTGACTAGTCGCTTACATCCCTAATTTAGGTTTTAAATATTGTGTATGGTGCATCGCAAATGTATCACAACCAATAGGCAAGAGAGTAAGCTAGAACTGATAAAAAGGGATGTTTACATTCTGAAAATGAATATGGATTTCTTGTTAACAAGGACACATGGTAAATCATATAGGAGCTGTTGCTATTGAAAAGAACCTTTGTCGTGGGAATGGTGTGCTAATGTGACCAAGCCTTTATCCTATCTCAGTTGAGTTTATAGAGGAAGAATGTTGCTCCCCCAGCGGTAGACTGGTAGCCTGGTTCTTGAGAGATGTGAGTTCAAGTTGCTGCTCCACCACAGACTTCCTCATGCAACTTGAATGACTCATTTAGTTTCACTGGGTTTCAGCTTCCCATTTTTAAGATGGGGTTAATAGCACTGCCCTAGCTCACAGGGGTGATGGGAGGATAAATCTGTGAAACATTGTGAGGCACTCATACTGTGATAATGGGGACCATACAGTACCTAGGGTGCTGTCTGTACTTCAAAGTTAGGTTGATGTAAATTGACTTGAATCAACCTAGTTGTGCATGTGTCTCTAGCAAAGTGTGCCCTTCGCCAGCGATGTGAGCACCCCATGACTGCACTGCAGTAACCTCCCCCCCCACACACACACCAACGGCGCAAACCCACTGTCAGTTCAGGGAAGCGTATATGCTGCATAACTTGTGTTGACCTCAGCGGTCACAGACAGCAGAAGCTCACCCCAGCACCCTGTAAAACTCCACACATATGTTTTGAAATACCTCTTCCTGATTGCTCACCTTAGTGAGCATCCATCCAAGCTCACCTCTGCTGTTTGCATTTGACTGTCCGACCGTGCTATACGAACAGAGAGCTACTAGACACTTCTGCCTGGAGCAGGCAAGAAGTATTGGATCTCCCGGCCCTATGGAATTTATGGCCCTCCAGCATCTAGGAGCAGTTTGTATAGGGATTGGTGGCAAAGGGGCATGACAGAGATCAGTAGCAATGCGGCATGAAAGCAAAGAAACAGTGTCAGATACCAGATAGCACTGGGGAGTGGAAATCTAAGCCCTGATTTGATCTTTTCTGCTTTTGCTTTGCCGGCTTGTGTTACATTAATTGAATTGTATTGTTGGATAAATGGGGTATTTACTAATGTTGTATCCTAGATTTCTGATGTTTCATATACAAGATCCTCACTTCAAAAATAATCCACACAACATGGCTAATGGTAAAAAGGAAATAATTGGCACAGTTGGGAATACAGATCATCTGTTTCATGGACCACTTTGAGAAACACTGCTCTGCAGTTATACACCTACTTATAACCCTCTTGCTTTTGACGTTTAATGGAAAATCAGTTGCATTAGCATGTCAAGGTAAGAAGGACCAATACAGTGTTCTGAAAAACAACAGCCAAACATCTGTGCAGCTCTCTCCAGCGTGTTCTGTACCATGTTTCTATGTCTCTGCTCACCAGAGAGGATGGGGTTGTATTGAGAGTAACAGAACAACTGAATCGGGAGCATACTGTAATCCAGTATAGCGTTCATGATCTGCTGTATGCTGATATTACTGTTTGTTGATATTAGCTCATTTCCAGAAGTTGTAGGATTAGGCCTAGTTTCCAGTTCAGATATATATCTCTAATGTAACTATTTTGTTGCTAGGTGATTGGCAAGGACGATGTGGCTGTACCGTCACACCTCTACAAGGTGATTCTCGCCAGGCGAAGCAGAATTTCCTCGGAGCCCCTCATGCTGGGGGCCTTTGTGGTGCCTAACGATCCCATAGGCTTCAGTCACCAACTACTTGAATTTCAAGTGAATATTGAAGACCTGGAGAAAATGTCAGGGCTGATTTTCTTCCCACAGGTGGACAAAACCAAAGATGTTAAAAATATCTGTGATGTAGACACCTGTAAATTAATGGGGTTTGATGAGTTTACATTGTATATCACTGCCCGGAAAGTTCAGAGTGCCAGAACGCTGCACAGGCTGGAAAAGGTGATGTCAGAATTAAGGGAGAAGGGAATTGAGCCTGATGAATATCTAGTGAAGCTTTACAAGAAGAAGGAGGCGGAACTAGTGGAGCAAAAGCAAATGGAAGCTAGAGAAAGGAGAGCTGGTTGAGTGTGCATTTCAGAAACTATATTTGGAATGTCAGACTCAGAAAGGAGGGATGTGCACACACAATTTGGATTTTACAATTTGGCTATTTTTTAAAAAAAGGTGGAAACAATTAGGCATTGGAGTTCAGGGCAATGTTCATCCTCTTGTAACATGATGTATGTCTGATTTGCCACAGTACTGTGTGGAAAATGAAAATGATTCTTTCCTGGCACGATTGGCTTATGAGGCCTTTGGAAAAGGCTTTGACGTCAGAATGAAGGTTTGTATGGAATCTCTTCTAGAAATATTATAAAAATAGACAGTGGACACCTTAGGAGTATAACTGGAACCCATCTAAATGTAACTGACCCTACAGATGTATTTTAACACAAAGCTGTAGAATTAATGATGGTGGTGTGTGGTGAGTTTGTTTTTCTGTTGTTTGTTTTAATGAAATAAATGCTGACATGACTTTTTTTTCTTTTACTTGGCGGACATCTTAAAACCCAGCAACATTTATATCCACTGTCTAGTCAGTGGTGAATTTTTCATTGACTTCCGTGAGGCCAGGATTTTACCCATCCATTTGATTAATTATAACAAAATGCACAGTACATCACAACACAGTCACCTACCTCCCCTCACGAGGTCCAAGAGGCAGCAGAGTGCCTGGCCTGGAATCCCCTTAGAGGACTTGGCAAACACACAGCTCAGCAAGCTATTAGAGGCATAACGTGTCCCTGATTCCATGGGGAAGGAGATGAGGTACACTGACTTATGTGAGCTGCTGTCAGCAAGGCTCGGGGCTGGTCTTACCATGAAAACATGCCCATAGGAAGGGCAGGAGCCTTACCACTGGGTGTAAAGGAGGGTTCTTTTGGGGGAAGCATTTTGCTTTGCCCATCATGTTTTAGCATAAATGTAAATCCGCACTTATCTAATGGGTAATAGAGAACCACATATTGATAGAAGGGTGGAGTCTGCTATTTTGTGGATCCAGACTCCTATTAATTATTATCCACTCCTCCCTGGCAGGTGTATGAAGTGGAAGTAGGAATTCAGGGATGGCTTGTGGCTCTGTTTCATCCCTAACAAGAAGGCCTGTAACCCTCCCTTCTAGTCCAGTAAAGTCATATGCTGCATCAGCCTCATGAGCAGCAAGCTTAAAGGCAAGAGGTATCCCCTGCAGTGTCTAGATCTGCCATACCACCCAAAACCTCACTGCAGAGACCGCTGTGCATTGTGACTTCCTGGAATCAGCCGCTGATCTGTTTCAGCAGCGGCTGAATCGGGGACCCCTGAGGCAGAGCAGCTGGGGACCAACCCGGCAGCACTCCAGCTGCTCTACCCCAGGCATCCCCAAGAGCAGCTGGGGTGCTGCCAGGTTGGTCCCTCAGCCCCGAGGGGCAGCACTATGAGACCAACCCAGCAGCACCCCAGCTGTTCTGCTCCCGGCTTCCCCGATTCAGCTGCTGGTCAGTTTCAGCAGCAGCTGAATGGGGGAAGCCTGTCCGGCTGCCCCAGCAATTCCGGGTTCCTGATGGTGCCGGACCATCAGGAGTCCCGGAGCATTGGATGCTGGACTAATGGAGTTTTACTGTATTTTTATTTCAGTTACAACACAGGATACCAAGTGTACAGTGCTCTTTATATTTACTTTTTATTACACATATTTGCACTGTAAAAAACAGAAAAGAAACAGTTTTTTTCATTTCACCTAATACAAGTACTGTAGTGCGATCTCTTTATTATGAAAGTTGAACTTACAAATGTGGAATTATGTACAAAAAACCTGCATTCAAAAATAAACCAATGTAAAACTTTAGTCTACTCAGTCTTACTGCTTGTTCAGCCAATTGCTTAGGTAAGCAAGTTTGTTTATATTTGCAGAAGATAATTCTGCCCGCTCCCATGCCACCTGTTTTGAATCAAGCACAATTCATCATCAGTATGAATGCATGTCTTCTGGAATGGTGGTTGAAGCACAAAGGGACATATGACTCTTTAGCAGATCTGGCACGTAAATACCTTACAACGCCAGCGACAGATGTGCCATGTGAATGCCTGTTCTCGCTTTCAGATAACATTGTAAATAAGAAGCAGGCAACATTATCTACGGTAAATGTAAACAAATGTGTTTGGCTGAACAAGAAGTAGGACTGAGTGGACTTGTAGACTGTAAAGTTTTATATTGCTTTGTTTCTGAATGCAGTGATGTAACAAAAATAGCTACATTTCTAAATTGTACTTTCATAATAAAGAGAATTCACTACAGTGCTTGTAAGAGATGAACCGAAAAATACTATTTTTGTATATCATTTTACGGTGAAAATATTTGTAATAAAAATATAAAGTGAGCACTGTATATTTCATATTCTGCGTTATAATAGAAATTGATATATTTGACAATGTAGAAAAACATCCAAAATATTTAATACATTTCTATTCATTTCCTATTTCCTATTCCTATTCACAGTGGTGGCAGCAGACTTCCCAGCCTTGGGGGTATGGGACTTCTCCTCCGGTGTAGGGGGTGATTGCTTATCTCCTGTATAAAGAAGAGTATAACGGTTTCCTAGTACTACCGTGGGAGGGTTCAGAGCAGGGGTGGAGCAGTGCCTGCTGCCAGAAGTAACCAGCTGCCACTGTCCACCCTGAGCCGTCTCCTCCTCCATCAGTGGTGTGTCCCCAGTCCTGTGTACCAGGACAGCTACCTCAGCTGTCTCCTCATGAACACGGTCCAGGAATTTCTTATGCATGCGGGTGCTCCTCAACTAGCCACCTTCTCCTGTAGCTCGGCCACCTGCTGCCTGAAAGATTCCACCAGCAGGCACCTTTCGCATTGGATGATCTCCCCAGCCTGGATATCAATAAGTGGGAATTGCAATCCACAGTCCCTGCAAAACCACACCAGGATCTGGGTAGAGGCATCCATGCTCAGGTGCTCTGTCTGGCGACAGGTGCCGGTGGAGGAGACAGAAGCAGTGCTGGTACAGGTGTTGCGGGTCTTCCTGACCATCGTAGGCCTCCCTCTGTCAAACTCCCCTGTCTGCAGCCCCTGTCTGCTTCTGTTGGTATTCTATCATTTAACAGTGTGATTTAAAACTGTGATGAATCACAATATTTTTAATCTTGATTTTTTTATTTAATCACACAAGTTAATTGCAATTAATCAATAACTCTAGTAAATAGCTAGTACTGGCCTAGAAAAAACACATCCCTATCTGATACAAATCAAAGAATATAATACAATCATAAGCATTTACTTTGCCTATTTCACAAATTGAGGTAATGACTTTGGTGGCTGGAACAAAGCTTTCTAAAGGAAACAGAAAATACAGCACAAATAATGACATTTCTTGGCTTATTTTTTTCTAAGCATAAATTACTGCCCTGTATGCTGAGCCACATATAAAAACATTGGTTGCTATTAGTAGTGTCAGAATTCCTCTTACTGTTAACTACTAAGGCTTAACTAGAATTTTGGTACAATCCTCATTAGTTTTTCAACCTTCACCATCATCTGGGTCCACCAACATGCCTAGATTTTGTTGGAGAAATTATAAACCACCATGTGATTTAAAATATCTAAGTGTGATTAAAAACAAATGGTGGGAAGTGCTAGCATTGGTTTGCTTCAGTCTTCCCAGTGTGTTGGCCTAATATAAAAGAGTTGAAGGGTGGTGACATCTGTCTACCATTTGCAATCGGATACAGACATTTCCTGATTGCTGCTCACCAGCATTCTCACAGACTTCCATTCAGAGCAGGGGAGTTGGTAAACAAAGTGTTTTCAGTGGCTAATATGGAGACACTAAGAAAAGGAAAAAATGTTGTTCTCAGATGGACCTTTCAGCAGTTGCCCTTCTTTTGGATTTGGTTTTAACTCTTTCTGGCTTTTGTGTTTATTTTGTCAGAGGTATGAAATGTGAATGCAGTTCTGATATTTGACCGTTTGGGGGCAGTTGAAATCTATAACAGATACTTGACTTACTATCTGTTCCAGCTGCATATAAACTTTAAGAGGCTGAAAGTCTTATGGAGGATTCAAGTGAAAGCTGTAAATAACAAAGACGCTTTGTTTCCTTTCCTATAGTAACAACTGTCTTTCCTGTTTGGAATGCTACCATACCCCCTTTTTAAAAGAATTATGAGTTCATGTATTACATTAAAAAGCTATGTACAGGACAAACCCATGACTTTCCCAGATGAAAAGGATTGTGGAAATAACATACTTGTACTAGATTTACCAGTAGTGTTGATGTCTTCATTTTGTATGCCTGGCTGTATGCCAAGTCCAAATCCTACTTCATTAGGAGTGGAATCGCAGATGAGTATGTAACACTTTATATACTATGAGAATACTTTTTAATGCTTTAATTTGTACCAGTCTGCAATGCACCGGGAGAGAGGGGGGCATTTTTATTTCTCTAGCCATTAGTTGAATGTAGTGTTGGTCCATATCCCAGCTGTGATTTGTATTACAATAGTGCAAAGAGGCTCCCAGCTGAGACTACGGTAAGAGACAGTTCCTGGTCTGAGTTTATAGTCTAACCGATAAGGCAGACAAAGGCTGGGAGAGGAACCCAAATCACAGGAAAGTGAAGTGACTTGTCCCATTTAAGCCAGAAAAATAAAAATGATAGGTCTGTCTGCTCCAGTGTTTCAGGAGCTTCTATAGGAGTTGTATATAAACCCCAGAGGTGACCTGACTCAGTGGGGAAGTGAGGAGTAATTTTGCTGTTATTTTTTAATTGTCTTCTCCAGCAATCGTACAGCCACACAGATGAGAAACCAAAAGGGAGGTAGGAACTGTTCCCTTCTGTGCTTCAGGTCTATCTAAGCAGCCCCACCTACGCTGTTCTGGAGGAGCCAGGTCTTGTATGTTCGCTAATGCCCTGTGCAATTAATGCAATATCTGCTGTTGTCATAAATTGGATTAAAACACTGGACAGTGACTGAGCGTACATGCCTAAAAATCTCAGACGTGTGTATTTTGATGTTCTGGGTTGGGTATGTTGTGTTCACTATGTGTACAAGTAAAAGTCTGCTCTCACGTGTAGTAAAATTAGGGGAGTAACTCAAGCATGCATTCCATTGTGCCCTACATGCAGCCTTGTGAGGCCACTTTCCCACCCACTGAGTGTAAAATCAGCAGCTTTGGCCACACAATAGTCCCCAAATAATCACTTCAAGAAGCTGAATGAAATTACTTTGCACACGTTAGTGAGGCATAACGGTTGGCGTGCCCACTAGCACTGACCATGTGTTCCACAGGCAAGGAGCAAAGCAGACAAAGGATCTTGAATGAGGCATGTCTAATGTTGTTTAAGAAACGGGACATAGATTGTTACCCAAACATAGAGAGGAACCATCGTTCAAAGACTAACTCGTATCCAAAGCAGGAGGGAATAAAGGCCATTGCGGACTTCTGCTAATGCTTCTCTCAGCAAGTTGTAACGTGCAGCAAA